CGTAAGAATCAACCGGGTTCTGGAATGGGCCTTGAAATTCGAGTCTGGGCCCTGCGATGTGCTGTAGAGAGTCGATCAATCGGGTGTGTCGCCTAAGATGCAATCGAATGTTCACGCGGAAGATGCTGGTTGTGAAAGGATTTGGATTTCCTAGGGAAGTGAAGAATCGAGTTTCGAATGTCCGTCAATTTTCCGTCAGAACGCCACAGTGCGGAGATTCCGGGGCGAAGGCTCGGAGAAATGGGATATTGAAAGAGCGGATTGAAACGATCCTTCAAGATTGACGGTTGAGAGGGATTGTAGGTTGAGAGTAAGGTGAAACTAGAAAAATCTGGAGAAAGAGGAAAAGAAAGGGAGTCGGAACGATAATAAGAATGACGGGGGGCGGCACTTTGGTGGAGTGGAGTGGAAGGAGAGGGGGACGGTAATAAATTATTAAAAGAAAAATTAAAAGAAAATCAAAAATCAGAAATTGTAAATTGAAAATATTCCTAAAAGAATATGAATTTTTGGAAATTGTTGGTAAGAACATGACAATACAAGGGGAAATAATTGAAAAATAAAATATAATAAAAAATCCGAAATAACTCCAGGCCGAGGATAAGGGTCGGTGAAGGGGAAAAATTCAATCGCATCACGGGGCCCTGAATTACATCGATACCATATCCATGTATTCAGATCCTCCCTACCATGGTTCCCACCGTATTCCCCCAGTACTTTAGACTTTCCTTTCCCTTTCCGACTGGAAGTTCCGAAGTTCCCCCCCAAATTACCTGGGTATTGTCATTACCAGTTTCCATTTCACTTTACGCAGTATTGATTACCTAAATATCAGTTGAACCTTCCACAATTGAAAACCAAGGTTCCCTCCAGGGCTTCAATATTATGTAGGTTAGGGAAGGTGAGCTTCCAATTGCTTACATTTCAAAGAGCTTAGACATTCATATCAAAGAATGAGAAATAATCAAAGCCTTTTAAGTGCCTGTGACCTGTCGGGGCAAAAATGAATTTAAGATATATTAAAAATAATAAAATAATAGAAAGAAAATGTCAAAGTGTACTCCGTACTGATCGAAAGACACCCTCCAACGCGGTAGTTGCAGTGACTTGCCGGAAGTCCAGACCAAGGATCTCTCTACGCCACTTAATGTATCTCAATGGTCGTTTGAACATTTGACATTTGGGCACTTCTCGCCACACAATCTACTCTGTACTCCTGTGTAAGAAAAAAGAGGTCTACTGACTGATGAACTGTCAAATTGCCAGCTATTGGTTCTAAAAGAGCTGAAGGTCCGGCTGACTTGCCAATTGATGTCGCGTTTAAGCTATTTTCGTCACGGACGCTCTATACTTGGACTATAGGATATTCCGTACACCGCGTCCAAAGGGCTAGGAATCGGTCTAAGATCTCAAGCCACGTTGTGGTCACCGATTTAGAACTTAGACCTCGTTTATTCTGAGGCCTAGCATGTCCGGAAGTATTAATTGCCATGAGCTCAAGGTTATAGCGGCCGAAACACACAAATAATTCCGGTGGAGATTATACACTTCCATCTAAGCGCCTCATTGATTTAATGGCTATTTAATTTTCGTATTTCCGGCTGAAATCTGTTTCCCCAGCTCTTTTCCCCCGCAAGCAGCTATTACCCGGGAGAAAGGGATGGTTCCATGCCCGGCTGCATGCCGGGGAACCAACGTGCCTCTTCCATAGTAGATCGTGTTCTGTTTTAGATGCATTGCTTTGTTTCAAAACAGGTAAACTCTCCTTGCACAGCTTTCATCGGTGAGCATTATGAGGGATATTCTGGTAAATCACTTCAGGCCTCAATCATGTGGATGGGAAAAAAAAGCAAGTCTGCCACAGCTTCACTTGAAGCAGCGCGCCAGCTTTACCGCCCTTTCTCTTTTCTTATCTTCCGAACGGGCACATCCTGGCTAGATTTTCTATCTTTGATTATTCACATAGGACACGACAGTCCAGAGTGTCACACACCTAGGCTACATAGTCACGAGTCTGCCAGCTGGCATTGTAGTGTTCATTGGCTGTCCTTGCTTTTCCTCAAGAGAGATAGGATTGACAGATGACGGTCAACATAAGGAAGGCCACAATACGTAAGAAGCCGGTTGAGAGATGTTCTTTTTTCCGTCACGGGGGGTTGAACGCTACAGCAACCTTTGCCCTCAGGCCCGGACTGGCGGAAAAGAAGGGTGTCTTTCCCTACCCGATCATTCCAAACCTCTAACCGGACGCCTGGGAGGCCGATCTTCCAGGACACGACCCCTGCCAGGGCGAAGTCACACCAGGCGCACGTTTCATCTATCATGTGATATTCATCATGAGAATCCCTGGCTATGATGGAGAATAGCTACTAGCTACCTAGAGTATCTTGGATCTGACCAACACATATCCAAGTGTGTTATTCCCTGTCAATCTGTGATGTGAAAGTGCAAGATGTCATCATCCGGGACTCTAAAAGTGTAACCAGAGGCCTCGGACTTGCGGGGGTCCGGATGAGAAAAAAAAGATCTACAAATGGGTGCATCGGAAGAGTTGGTGTATGAAGGTCGTTTGATATCTCATTTCCCTCGTAGACGGTCTCAGTCAAAACGGTATCAACCAATTAACCACTGTACATCTTCTTTGACCACCAAAAAATACCGAAGTCATCTGATTCGTTCAAAACAGTTCGTTGGTAACAGGTGTATCCCTGCAGATGTATGACACTACACAATCATCTACAAGATGCGAAGCGTTGTCTGGCCGTTTGTGCACCCTGACTTTTTTATAGCTGCTGACCCCCTGCCTGCAAGGCCTGCACAACAATGTTAACGGCATATGGAAGTCATTTTGATGAGCAATCTGATGAGAGAATCAACGAAGCGTCAGAAAACTCATCTTTCTTGACTCATCTACTCGTCTACAGGTTCAGCTCCTGTCTCACTACCTAGTATTCGGGTGGTACCAGGTGGCAATATGAACCTGCACATAAGATACCCCATTAAACTAGGCATACTGCATAACGATCGCGTTAAGGCTGCGGCTGCCAATAGCTCGGGACTGGGGAAATGGAAAGTCACGCCCCACTTCAACCAGGGCATGGGTGACAAAATCCGGGATACTGGGGTACCGAGGTGCTACTAGGCGGCCAAAAGGATACCCGCCAGGCGATGGGAAACCATCACCCGGGTGGGTCATTATTCTAGGTGCTGTACAATACCACAGTTGCCATGAAATGATCACGGGCAGACCGAGGCGCTAAAGCGGAATGAGACCGATCCTAAGGCTGTGGCAGATGACAGGTGATGTAGACGCAAGTCATGACGGAGACCGCGCTTCGGATTGCAATAGCTCGACATGGTGCCGACGGGGCAAATTGAGGAGCTAGGGTATGAGTACCCACAATCCCATGCAATCCTATGCGATAAACCTCACGTATCCAGGTATGGCCAAATTCTATCCAACATGGGCAATAAGCCGAAGAGACAGCTCATAAAGTGGCAAAGTCACGCGCAAGTCATGTCACATGATGTGGGGACCCAGGAACAGCCCGCCACCTCAGGGGCTTGTGACTTTCCCGAGTTGACGCCTCTTACCATATGATTCTCTTAAAAAACCTCCTGCATCCTGAATTTGGGCTATGTTGGTGCCTTGCCAATCACCTGAGTCCATGTGACACGGCACGGCACCCGCGGATCGGCTTGTGCCCCATTTTCACATCTCGTTCTAATCAATATTGTTTCTGTTCGCTGATTGAACCATTATTGCGCTGCCCAAGTGCCTTAGCTTATTGATCCGCCCAACGGCTTGAGATGACAGCTAAATGTCCGCCCCAATGATGTGATTTTGTAACACGAAAACAGATATCGGCTTTCTAAGTCCAATTCATACGGACTCCAAGCCTCAGGGGTATCTAGATCCCCTCCCGGGCGAGTATCACTGTTATACCGCATATTCATTCATCTCCCATCGTATCATATACTCCATGTAATATACCGCAAGCCATGCATGGGGCGCAACACCATGCGCCGCGTCGATCAATCAGATCACCAATGCTTCTATCTATTCAGGGTGCACATAATATGTAATGTGGCTGGACGTAACAAAGCGCTCAATCAGGGATTCGATAGCAAATAATGGAGGGGAACAAAACCTGGAACCTCTCTAATCTCGAATCAACAGAGTAAGCTTAAAGGTGTCACCGTTCCTGGGTCAACGCGCTTCGCGTCAACAAACCAACGGCCAGAGCTGTCACCCCAATGTGACGGGGCGCCACGTCGGTGACTGTCACCAACTTGGACGGCCAAACATGTGGCATAAAACGGTGTACGAGGGTATGAGCATCTCCAATCATTTACTCCTATTCATTCCCACAGCCTGAGCTCAGGGAGATTACGAATTACCACCGTGTCGACCATGTGATTCTTTGTTTTAGATGTTGATATAGATCCCAAAATTGAGCGAAGATACGGAGTATTAGATAGGATATGTCGCGACCTCCAGGCGTCCCCGAGGTGGTCTCTTTGTATCACATCAACCAGGCAGCAAATCACATTCCCCCATGTTCCCACTTTATTTGTAGCCCGCTTCCCCGGCATGAATGTCTGTGCTCAGATCAAAATTTAGTGTCTGATACATATGGCCTACAGAGTAATCCATAATTAATTATTCCGAAAAAGGGGATCGACCAGGTATCAGATATAATTTGAGACTTGGTGTCAAAGCGAGAAGTCAATCAGTTTCGAGGTTTAAGAGTTGACTGGTACGAGCAAGGGATACTCGCGGCCTGCGGGAGTCGAAGCCGGATGGATATACAACATAGTTTTCTAGATTCACAGAATCAGGTGGACAATTGATCGATGAACTCAATCTAGAAGCATTCATACCAAGTGAGGTGGAACAACATGTAATTGAGATATCCTTCTTCCAGGTACGGAAAATTCAAGTACGTATTGATGCGTTCTTGTCCTTTTGTCCGGTTCCCTACTCTGCAAAGATCAGCCTACCTGTGGATAATGCAGGTGACCTTCAACAAGGGATATCCGGGGAATCTTCCAGATCGAAAGCTTGCTGTATCCGCGAGCCTGGTAGGCCCCGTGAGACTGGCTGAGACGAAGATGGGATGTGGGTTCCTGGATTCTGTGATCCATCCGGAAGCAGGACTTGCATACCCGCGACGATCATTTTCTTCCGAATGTCTCTGGCTTCTTTCGTACATTGCGCTCTGTGCAGATAGTCGACTTCTAAACATCATGTTTTACTGGAACAGGTGACACCCAATATATCCCTATCCTAGACGAAGATCGTTCTTTGCTTACGTGTTGTGTCTTTGTTTTTTTCTTCTGTGATATCCCTCCCCCTTCAATATCGCAGTCTCATCCAACTATTACAATAGCTCGAGTTCAGGTGGTCATGTGTGTAATTCCTGTTGCTCGTTCAACCGTCACAAACTAGCAAAAAAAAGCACGTCCATACATACCATAAAGGTCTGGCCCATTATCTTGTCTGCGCGGCCCCTGGTCCCGGATCGTTGACAACTCCCTTGTTTGGTGTTGTGGCCCAATAATCTATCCACCTGTGCTTTTTGCAGATCAAGTTCCCAGGTATTCGGTAGCCCTGGCATGTCTGCTCTCATTTTTCTAACGTTATGGACCCACTTTCCCTGATATGGAACCTTGTGCAAGGGCCTATACATACTCCACTCGATACAGCACGAAGGTATTTGGGCTTTATGCTTCATCCGCCACCTCATCATTGCATATTGCTTCTGAGGAAGCATACTGTGAGGGAAATCCAGAAAGAAATGCATATTGAATGTTTGCTATGGCCTCTTTCTCTTTCTTTGCTTGTTCTGGCTGTCTGGTATTTGAGTTAGTTAGTGACAGCCCCTGTCAAGGCCAGGGTTATTTTCATATTGTGGACTTTCAGGCCCCTGATTCAAGATCTTCCTTTTGTACGGAGTATTGTTGTTTACCAATGTCAAATACGAAACCCAAGCCATCCATTTCCCGAAAGAGATCATGAACTGGGTTTTGCTTGTTGCGATGGTCGGAGATACGAAGTAATCAAAGAGAAGAATCTCCAGAAATAGCCCGATTTACAAAACCACCTGACTAAAGGCCTAGGCCAAACTACCTATGGAAGAGCCAGAGACCATATCGTCCTTTTGTGCTCTTTCCGTTGCACAAACAATTGGATAATATACGTGCTGACCCTGGGCTGCCCGACCAATGGCACCCCCACACTGCAAGCTGACTGCATCGGGCTATGTGCATCCGATGGCTATTTAGGGCGGCTATCTCCTGACAGCTCTCTTTGCTTTTGTTCTTTGCCTAGAACGGCTATATCGGCAGTGTACAAAGATCTCTCATCACCGCTAGTTCAGAGTCTCTCGACGTGTGATTGTGGCGGACAATGGGCTAAAATGGCTGTCTTTGATTGCTTATTTTTATTGAGATGGAGGGTTTCATCGACACGTAGTCTAGGCCATCAGGAGTCGAATCCCTGATTGATACCGAAGCCTCTTCTGTATGGTTATCACTGTGGCTTCTTTGACAGCGCGCCATGCGACGGGTGATCGATGGATCTCTTTGATCGTTTGTGTTGGCACTCTGTCACTGCTGATTGTGAACGCCGACCGGGTATTGGCTTCAGATCCTTGGAGTCCATTTTTGATGTTTCGTTTGTTTTGCCCACCTGATCACCCGTCAGTGTTAGGCTCTGATCTGGAGCCTCCTGCAAGCAGGCTAATTTATCCGGCTTTGTCACCTGCTTCCCCGTCAGCCGTGGCTGTTGTTGGTCGCATATTATTTAGATGTCGACTGAAACTAAAGACTGTCACGTACATCTAATCAAACATGTTTTGTTGAGGCTTGGGGATAAGTTACGAGCTAAAGGCTCTAGCTGTTGCGATATATATTTCCAGGTACGGACTATACATGTAGGTATCCACTAGCCTTTGTTCCTCAAAAGTTATATTTCTATAGAGTAAACATGTGGACTCCTACAATACTACAAACTGTTAAATGTAGAAATGCTCCCAACCTTTTGCGGAGATCAAAATCCGGGGAAGCAACATTGAAGGGACACCCCGGACCTTGAAAGGCCGCTTTCGGCCATCCAACGCACTCACTGGCAAACCATTTACCATTTTCGATCGGACGCAAATAGATTACAAATAAAAAACGAAAGACTAGAGACAGAATACGGAGTTCTGAAAAGGGTTGTCACTTCTTGAAAAATACGTATCCTATACAAATTTTCCATACTTCAGTACTGAGAGACCGCAAACAACTACAGATCGGTAAGATTGAAGTTGCCCAAGGCAGTCAAATTTTTATGAACCTCAAATAAAGCGATCACTGGGTTGGTGATGTGTCGATGGCTAACAGGTGCGTTGTCGTGTGACGAGACCAACGATTCCCCGAAGAAGCGGTAGAACAACTAAATGACCAGATATCGTAAGTGACAGTTGCTCACCAACAGCCAAGAAAGATGCCTAATTTATATCAAACGGCTGTCACGAGAAGATTAAAAAGAAAGTCCGATATCTTAAAATTGGACTACTACGAACGAAACGAGGCCACGTCAATCCACGATGCCCATGTGAACAACCTAGGTGATTCAGATTCTAGCACCGATGAGGCTGACGCAACAGTACCTCATAGTCCGAAGTCCCCTATAGTCAATAGCGCCCATATTTACCGATATATCGATTCTGGCCGGACCATGCTCCTTCTGGCATTCTGTTCCACATGGAGCCTGGCCACCAACACCAGGTCATCTGAACCGGAAATAATATCTCCGGCAGAAGTTTTCTTCAAGCATAGCGCGGCTATGTCGACTACCGCCAGAAAAAAAAAGATCGTCTCTTCTACAGGATTATGCAACGTAGCCCAGTCCTATTGAGAACGCAGGGCACAGAACACAGAAAGAACCCATGCAGACCAGCATCATACCCTTGATCTAGCCCTCTGCATCGACAATCTACAAGATGACGAAAAGAGAAAAAAAAGAAGAATGACAACACAACCAATCCAAACACGCATGTCCCACAAATTGCAATCTCGCCCCGGCCACGAAAATGGGCGCGAGATCGGGGCTTGCACTCGTACCTGTCAGCGGTGTCACACCGCAGCGATGGATTTGCATTCGGCCCGAGGCGGAAGATCAAACTAATACATGTATACAAGTACCTAAAATTCGTCTAGGCAGGGTACATCGTGCCCGGCGTACTCACCTACGGTTATGCTGGAGCTGACGTCCGTCTCCTGTGATGACGGCTGCCGCCCGTTTCTCGATATTCCAATAAAGACGTCCTGCAACACGACCCGCTGCAGGTCATGGGGGACTTTAAATTGATCTGCTGTGGGATGCAATGCGTCTTGCAATCGTGTGTGTGCTATGTATAACCATGCTCGATGCAGCTGGTGCATTAATATGCCCGTATTATAAGGTCTTTATCCTGGCACGGCACTTGTTATTGCCTCGTTTTCTTTGGAATCGTACTGCAATGCAGTATTTTGAGATCGATGGCTTCTTGGTTCAGCTGGTGTTTCAAAATACGACGGATAGCTGTTGCCATTATTGTGTCTGGGTATACAGATGGGGTCTGGCTAAGCGATCTTTCAGTCACTTGTTGACTTGTTATCGGTCTAAGTAGAAGTGACCTGCCATTTTGACTACCCAGCAATGTAAGCTGATATATATAACTGGATCTCCTCAATACTTAAGATTAAGGTAGTTAGCTTCCTATGTTCTAATACTCCTGACGTTAACAGTTTACATGTGAAAAGAAAGAGAGAAAATAGAACGAGTCTAGGCCTGTCTCGCCCTCAGTCGAGCTGTAGTGAATAGCAGAGCTCTGAATCCTGTGATCCACGAGTCGCGGGGAACTGGGGTCGTACTTTCATGCATTGTGAAATCCAGGAATTAACATTTGAATCCCTGCACAAAGCTGAAAGCTCTACTACACCGGTTCAAGAAGGAGATAGGAAAAAGAAAGCAAAGCAATATTGCATTTTTCTTTACCCGCCGGAAGAGCTTGAAAATAGTGATGACATGTCTATGATGGGTGAAATCTTTGTAGAGGTATGCACATGTCCACCCCAGCGAGACTGAGACTGAGTACGCAGCCGTCACCGTGAAATTCCGATTCGGGCGTCCTGCCGAAGAAAGCTCTGATAATTGTGCAAGGTATGATAATTATCGATTTTATGTTCAATTCAAAATTCCAGTCCGTCCTATAGGCCGTCACTCTATTTTGAGGTAGTTCCCGGGAGTCACGACCACACAACAGAACGCAACATATTCGGGACAATGAGCTTGTTCTGGATTTGTATAACATGTACTAAAACGTCATTAAACGTATGAATAGTGTGGATCGCTACTCTTTCGTGCTGGTGTCTGCATCTACTTGTCGTACAGATTACTTCGTAGAGTGGGGGTCTCTATAATGCGCATGCAGAGGCGATCTGATCTTCACCCTGCAAGGGTTTCTTCAGGAATGAAGGAAACTAAATCGGAATTACCACTGACACTCCTCTCAATCCCGAGAAATCTCATTAGGGAGGATGAAAATACAGAATAACAAGAACCAAGGAGCCAACGCCAACGCATCGTCCATTTGATAGAACATCATGACCTAAAACTCGCATGCAAGGCTTCAGGTGCCATCTAAAAGAAAGTATACATCCATTGCCTACTGCCAGTTTCAAATATTAAGATTCCAATCTCGTATCCGGGTAATAAGGCAATATCAACCCCCATGATGGGACCGGTCACCAGCTACCTCGTTCCGTTCATCCATTAGTCTAGAAGACTTTGTTGGGAAGAAATATGACGGAAAAAAGCAGGCACCCCCACAAATGCGCACCGAGGTTAAACGGAAGGCAGACTCCGAAAAGCTAAATTTGTCAGTTGATGTTGGGGTGGGAGTGCGTCTGTCCTCTTTTGGGTACTGTTGTTCCTCGGCATATCGGGTGACCCTCGTGAACACAGACAAACCCACACGATCCCGAATGGAGGCACGGATCTCCTACGAAAACGAGCCTGTCTGCTGGTGTGGAATTGCTGGGTTTATTGCTGGGTTTACGCTTATAGTGTTTGTGCATGCCGTACTGGTATGTATTTCGCTATTGCTGTAGTTTCGGTAAAGACTTCCGGTTGACATCGTGTGGTCCTAAGGTAGATGGGATGAAATCGAAGTGGGACCTATGCGTGTTTAGGATGTATGGGTGAGACGAGTATGTCGTACGAATGGGTTTCTGGTTAGGTTCAGTTCACCTGTGGATTTTCATGGCGCTCATGTTGGTTGTTGGGAATGAGATGCCGTTCTAGGCTATGACATGTCTATCTACATATAAATGCTAGTCATACACACGAAGATTCATATCAAGAGTAAGACCAGAAGCAGTGACCAGATAGAGACATTATCAATCCTTTCGTTTTTATTGAAACTAAAAGGGTTCTATGTATGGGACCATGTTTTTACATAGCAAACCAGAATCATCGGTTTTTTTTCTTTTACCATCGTAGAATAGGACTAGGATCTAGTGATCTAGAACTCAGACTGATCATCACCGGAGATAATGACGTTGTTGATCTGATTGAGGGTTAGCATATAGCGGGACAGAAGGGGTGGATGGGAGTAGTACCTTAAGAACCATGCGGCACAGCTGAGTAGCAAGCAGAAGTTGTTGGCGCTTGCCAATCAGGGGGTCAATAGCGAAGTGCTCGCGCATATCTAGAGAGCCCGAGTTAGTCAATGAACAAAACTGGGTAAGAAATGATATTCTAGGGGCGTACCGTTGGTGCCAGTCATCATGCAGTCAACACCGAGACGGGTGTTCTTTTCCTTGACCTGGCGCGACTTGATAGAGGCAAGGGTCTCAATGGGGCTCAAACCAGAGTTCTCGGAAAGGGCCAAGGGCACGGCATCCAGCGCATCAGCGAAGGCGCGCATGGCATATTGCTCAATGCCGGGACTCTTGACAGCGGCGTCCTCGACGGCGATGGAGCAAGCAATCTCAGCAGCACCACCACCGTAGACCACGCGGTTGTCGCGCACCAAATTGCGGACAACACACAGAGCATCGTGTAGTGACCGCTTGGCCTCATCAATGATCTGTAGCTGAAGTTAGCTACCCGAACCTCTCCTGGCGTATGGTACGGAGATTGACTCACCATCTTGTTACTTCCACGAACGAAAATTGTCACTGCGCGAGTGTTGGCACACTCCTCAATAACCAGCATCTTCTCTCTCGTGGTTCCGAAGCTCATCTCGCGGACAATACCGGCTGTGCCGAGCTTGTCAGGGGTCAGGTCCTCGAAGCGGGGCACAATACGGCCGTTTGTGGCAATGGCGATCAACTCAATCTCAGGCCCACCAACCCAACGAACGGCAGGCAAGTTATTCTGGAGCAAAAGGTGGTTGGCCTCATCATCGAAACCCCACTGGCAGATGACCAGGTTGGCACCCGACTCCTTCAGCTGCTGGATCATCTCTGTGAACTTCTCCTTCTCGTAGTCCTGCAGCTTCTTGAATTCCTCAACAGATGTGATATCAAGCTTGTGCTTGGTCTTGGGCTTGGGAGGCTCAAAGGGACAGGTCAAGATGGCCAATTTGGCATCCCGAACTTCGTCGGGCATCTGGGGGTGAGAGAAGTCCTTGTCCACGATAACACCTCGGACAAGCAGAGAGTCCTCGAGGGATCCACCGACCTTGCCGTCAACCTTGATCAACTCGAAGTCGACATCCTTGCGCTCAAAGTCGGCAACCGAGAGCACGGCATCAACGGCGATCTGGGCGAATTGGTCGTGGGACTTGGAGACGCTATGAAAACTGTCAGCATCAACGAGAACGCATATACAGCTAGAAATTCGTACATCTTGCTGCCCAGACTGGTCTTGGCCACTTTGAGGAGGTTGGTGGTATCATCTTGGCTGAATGTAATTTCGTCACTGATTTTGTCGAGCTCGGCAATAGCGATTTCGCAGGCCTGGTCGTATCCGTCGGCTATACGAATGGGGTGGATGCCTTTGTCAATGAGATCCGAGGCTTGTTCAAGCATGGCCGCTGCCAGCACCACGACACCGGTCGTGCCATCACCGATCTCCTCGTCCTGAGACTGCGAAAGTTCGACCAACAGCTTGGCGACATTGTTTGTGATCTCCATCTAACCATAACCATCGTATCAGTCTCTCGTACCAAAAGTGGATCTCTCCGGGGGGGAAAGGACTTCGGAGTCGAACCTGTCCGAGAATAGTTGCGCCATCATTGGTGACGGTGATATCGCCGTCGGCGGAGATCAGAATCTTATCAAGACCACGGGGACCCTAAGAACAAGAGTCAGATGTCTTTCCATTCATCGCTTGCCGAGTGTCATACCAGAGAAGACTTGACAATGCTGGCCACCGTCTTGGCGGCAACAATGTGTGACTTAACAGCCTCAGTGCCATGTTGTCTCTTCTTCTTTCCCTGACTGTTTTATGAAAAAGACCCATCAGCCCCATATCTCCAACATCCAACTCTCAATGGTATTTTGAAACGGAGGATAAGGCATAGCGGTGAACGTACTCGCGAACCACAATAAACGGCCGTCCCTGCTCGTCCTTCAGGATCGAAGCTACCCCTTAATGTCAGCGACCGAATCCGAGTTGTACCAAGTTATCCGAGGAGTAATCACCCTGAGACATATCAAGCTCTGTTGAAGATCAAAAACCACATAGTTAGCCAAAGCACATTTCAAGAATGAGGGGTATGGGGGTGCGGCCTTACGCATTGCCATGTTGACGGTGGGCTGCCACCTGGCAAAATATAAAGATTTTTAAAAAGAGGGCACCGACAAGGAGACCTAGAGATAATCAAGCGAAAGTGACAAGACAAAGCAGTGAACTTGCAAGTTGAGCCTTGAGGGGGAGCTTCCCGAAATGCACTTTTGACAAATGAAATTCTGACTGCCCAAAGCGGTATAGCGTATCTTGTCCGCCTTCAACGCGTTTCTGCTTCTTGACTCCTCTAAGCTCTGGATGCGACAGCCTTTCGTCTGACTTTACAAGTGCAATTGAGGGTTCAATCCTCCAGTCGCCAATCTGTTTTCTAAACTCTCTAACTTGATCTCACCCTTCAACCGCAACATGCCTCGTGAGTGTTTTCCCCCAATGTTGATTTGTCGCGCGCGCAATGGTGAGCATCTCGGCTGACCCGTTCATTGCCCAGCTCCCGTTGAAGATATGTCTGACGAGGAATCTGGCGATATTCCTTTCAGAAAAGAGTCAGAGACAAATGGAAAAGATGACCAGGACCCCCCAGAAGACGAAGGAGACGAAGAGGAGGATGAGGAGGAGGAGGAGGAGGGACTGTGAGTTGCGCATTCTGGCCAAATGACGGATACATGTTTCTAAATAAATACAGCTACATCGTCGAGGATATTATTAAACATGACTGGCTTGATGATGTAGGTTCACAACACTCAGCCTCATTGTGCCGAGAAGCTAATCAACTACAGGGAACTCTTAAGCTTTGGGTGAAATGGAAGGGCTACGAGAGGGTCCAAGATCACACATGGGAAGACGAGGAGGGTTTGATGTACGTCGATATGCTCATTGAGCTTCGAAATCTGCTACGCGCATTTATTGACGAACATCATAGGGATGGAGCCAGCGAGGTTGTCACAGCATATTACAAGAGGATCGGTGGTCGCCCGAAGAAGGACGAAGAGAAGCCTGCGGCAGCAAAACCAGGCCGCAAGCGCAAATCTATGGGCGAACCGAAGCTTGCTAAGGATTCACCGGCCCCCGCAGCGAGCGAAGTCAAGAGGCAACGCCGAAAGTCAGCACCCAAGGAGACGAATAAGCAAGCTTCCCCCTCATCCGAAGAAAATGGCATTCAATGGCTTCCAAAGGGAAAGAACTGGGATAAGGATGTGAAAGAGGTAGACACAATTGTCCGGGAGGGTGATGCAGGTCTCATGGCATGGCTTGAGTTCAACAACGGACACAAGGCGAAACTGTCTGTCCAGGCCTGCTATGAAAAGTGTCCACTGAAAGTATGTCCTCCTCCACGGTGCCGAAAAACAGCGGCAAGGTTACTGACTACCAAACTAGATGCTCAAGTTTTACGAATCACACCTGTGAGTTAAGCCCTCCCAATGAAAGCTCGAAATGCGTTCCTAACATCTCTTATAGTGTCTTCAAGGATAATTGAATCCATCCTGTTCACTGACAACTTGATATATTCCCAACTCGAAAATGGTACACAAGCGTGACATTTCTAGGCCATTTCTTCAATCTCGGATGTGCTATAGCGAGTGGCCATCGCTACAATACCCCCTGACTACTGCGTCCAACGCGTTTTGAGCATGGCACTGCTGCCCTCACATTGATGTTTACTTTTGAATTCCTATCTCCTCTTTGCGTTCTGGGCAGGTCAATACCGGTGTCTTCGGAGAATATTTCGTTTCTAGCTACACGCTAAATCTTCATTCACTTCACAATTGCAATTCGTCCATTGTAGCTGTTCTCCGTGCGCTTTCCCAGATTTCGCATCCCATGGGTATCATTCAATGAGCCCTGTCTGCCGAGCCATGCTGAAATATTCCCATCTATCCTTGTACGCTTCTGCGCCGTGTTTCGTCAACGCTCGCTGCACACGCGAATATTCCCCCGCTTGCAAACAGCTATCGTCCTCGGCTGTCCAGACCCCGGGCATATCATCAGGAATACCCTTCCCAGCCGTGAGGTATTTGAGAACCTTATCTGCCATCTCTGGGACCATGCTTGTACATCGCAGAGCATCGAACACGTGGGATTCTTTGGCACCTCGAGCCAGGCGTTGATCGATCCATGTATCGACATCGGGTGCATCTGAGGTGTGATCATCAGACACCTCGGATGCTGGGCTTGATGGCAAGAATGGGAGTTCTAGGAAAATGGGATCTACTGGGTCTTCGAAGACATTCTTGACTGGTGGTCTGGGATTCGGTGGTTGTTTCTTGAATCGGCCAGACTGCGCGAAGGCATTATCACCCAATGGTCGCGGTGGGGCTGGCGGCGCTGGTGGTTCTGTTACATTTTCTGGTTGTTGAAAAGTCTCCCGAGTGACGCGGCGAGGGGTTTCTGTTGAAGCGTTCGGGAAAGGGAAGAGATCTGGAATACCAAGGCCTTGAAGCGCTCCTGTATCTGAAGACGAGGCAGCGGGATAGCCTCTTTCTAGGCGTGCAGTAAAGGGTGGTGTGGCTGCCACGTTTGGTGACCCTGATTGGGATCCCCGGCTATCAGGACGGGGATGACGTGAGGAAGGGCCCGCAGTTGCAGGATCTTCGATTGCTCTTCTTTTCATAGGCGAAACATCCCTCCGCCGTTGATTGGGCGGTTCAGGGACCGAATCTCGTTTTCGCTTTGGACTGCTTAGTGTATTTGTTTGGACTGGAGCAGGTGGTGCCAGCCGGGGGACCCTTGAGCTAGATGATGCTGTTGAATCTTTTGGGGAAGCTCGGGCAGGCAAGGTCTTTGGGCGTTCTCCTTGAGGTGGTGCAGACTGTATAAGCTCGCCATATGATAACGGGGTGCCGCCCCCAGGACGGCCCTTGCCACGCAGATGCTTCATGTATCTACTACGCCAGGACTGCCACGGGTGACTGGGATACTGTGTTCTACCAGTTAGTTTCATATTTATGTGTGTTCTGTAGTCTTGACAGAAAGAGGAGAGCATCATACCAGTTCGCTTAAATCTTGGTAAATTTTATTACCTTGGACAGGCGCCCCTGGCTCCTTTCCTACGTGTTCGATCCAGTCAAACACGATTTGATCCTCTTTCAGGGTAAAGAAGGCTCTTGTGCTTTTCGTGGGAATGTTGAATGCACCCATTGGACGAGGTGCAGATGGCCCAGCTCGGTGGGCTTCTAAATCTTCGAGTCGTCCCTTGTTGATAGAACGCTCTACATATTGATAGGAGAAGCTAGCTCTGAATTAGCACACTGATTCTGAGTAAAGAGTTCCGTATTCCGTACGTATCCCTAGGCAGGTCTTTCCTTGTGTGATCCACCAGCTTCACATCGGCATCCTTCTCCATCAGCACAACAGTGCCACCATATTGCTAGATATTCATTAATCCCTGTGAGTTTCAAACAAGATAAAGTGTTCCTGAAATACCTTGATTAATTCTTTAAACCTCAGCCTTTGTGGAACAGTTAGAGATAGCCAGAATCGTGCGCCTTGAAATAAATTCATCGTCGGAGTCTCAGCCCGAGACGAGTTATTTGTGGAAGTCGCCATTTTAAATCTTCAGAAACAAAGCTCAAACCCTTTTCTTCAAACTTTCACACCCTAAAGTAGGCCAGCTTTGTCTGCGACGCGGTATCACGTGTTGACGTGTCGCAAGGGGCTTTTTCCCATTCAACAGCGGGCTATGGTGCAAGACAGATATTGTCTCGCTGAATCGACTGTCAGTTCTTAGGTTTGATCATATGAGATTCCCGCGGTATCAATCGACAGGGGTCATAGATGAAATAGTTGGTTTACGCCGAGACTGAAATCACGGTCACGTGGCATACACAAAACCGACGACTTGCGGCGCAAACGTGTTGAGTGATCACAAGTCAAGGAATGCATGAACCGTGAAGAACATCGCTGGGGGATGCAGAGCGAACAGTATATCCTTTAAACTTACCGCGAGAACTTGAGCTTCAGAATGGGGGCCCTTAGAACCGTTGGTCTGGTGATTCTAGCGATCTCGGCATTCACCTTTATCGCGCTCTTTGGCAGGCTGCCAGCTTTCCGGTAAGTAATTTGTTAACTTCGAAATATTTAAAGCTCTGCGCTGACTCCTGAAGGAAAACTCCGGTCGCCTGGCTCCATCGGGCACTGTGGGTGTACCTTCCGAATGGAATTGCCGTTGTCGATAATCGCTTGTTCGGCGGGAGGGTAGTACGAAGCTGGAATAGATCTGGCAGCTATGTACTGAAGGAGAATCACCCACTTGTCCTGGTGAGTCTCTTAATTTATTATTACTTATCCAGACACATACTGACTATGCATACTAGATTTTCTTTACCTCCTTGCTGGTCGTTGGAGAAGGCATCTTTGTCCCGGCCGCGTGGCCTCGACTTTCGAGCATTCATCGACTCTGGGTACCCGCAGCTATTAGCTTGCCATATTTCCTACTCTACAAGTGTGTTATGACCAAGTCATTTATCACAGCAGAGAACCATGAGGAAGAGATGAGACGCTATCCGTACGACCGAGTCCTTTTTCATCCAGGACATGAATGTAGCACCTGCAAGTTCCTCAAACCAGCGCGCAGCAAACATTGCAGCTTTTGTCAAGCCTGTGTTTCTCGGCATGACCACCACTGTGTATGGCTGATGAACTGCGTCGGGGCCAACAACTGCGTGTACTTCATCTCGCTCTTGGTCTCCCTCTCTGTCATGTTGATTTACGGCTCCTACCTTGGTTATTCCATACTCTCTGAGATACTGAAGCAAGTGGTTCCGCCAGAGATGCAGGAAGCTATGCAAAGCTGGACAACCTGGATCAACACATGGGGTATTGTGGTTGCTGCTTATCCCAAGATTGGGGCAGTATTTCTATTAATGCTTATGACTGCCCCGCTGGCAATATCCTTCCTGGCGTACCATACGTATCTCATCTGGGCTGGGGTGACAACCAATGAGAGCGCCAAGTGGTCCGATTGGAAAGATGATGTGGAAGACGGCTTCGTATTCAAGACAAAACGAAGTCTCATCTTCGACCGTCCTCTTCCTATGAATCTATATGATCAACTGTGGCCTGTGCATACGGATCAAATCCTTGTCACTGATGAAGATCCTCCAACTGAAGGATGTTTATTGGCCTCTGACTCCAATTGCATCGCTCATCGCCCGGAATCAGATCAGCCTCCTGACCCTCGATGGAAGCGACTCAACACTATGAGAGATGTCGACAACATCTACGATATGGGATTTTGGTATAATCTTCGGGACGTGGTGGGACTATCTGTCCGTCGATCTAAGGAGATATCTAATATTTAAGCTCTTTGTATATAACTTATATGTTGAATATGAAAGTTTGATTCACACGAATATCTAAAATAGATCTACAAGAAAGACGCTGTTTATTATATATTTGGGACAGTTGACACTTGAAGTAAGAAAATAAAAGTGGAAACAATATTTGCTACATTAATCTATGTGGCACATTATTGAAGATTGAAGGTACGTAGAGCATAAAGGCACATGTACGGAGTAGAGTGGGAAGAGTATACTTTGGGGCGATGTTGTATGCTTTGATGAGGCGGAATAGCCTGGAGCCCTGGCGAATGAGCGATAACGATAACATTCGTGCGGGCGGAAAATTTGTCTCTCCACACCTCCGATTCTTTGATTCTCTCATCCCACTCTGATCTCCCCGCGCTGTTTCCCGTATCAAAGCACACTCGTTACAGCTGGGAAATTCTTTGCAAGATGGCAGACCCAAAGCCATTATGTACACCAGCTGAGCTCATGCTCAAGGTAATCCTTGCAGGGACCCTGAGCCACTATGAAGTTCGGGGCATGATCGATGACAAGCGCTTGGAGCACATGCTTGCCGCTGGGAAGCAGATCCTGTACAAGACACACCAGGAGAGCGATGTTCGGTAAGATAACAATATAATTGACCATCTGCATGCATGCTTTGTATACTAATATGTTGCGCCCTGCTAGTCACAATCTCGGAATGTCGCCGGATATTTGGCAAGGTCTCACGAACGTCCTCACCAAAGCGATCCCAGTCCTTGAGTCCCAATCTTTCGCGTGGAAAAGCCCCGCGGCAAGCTATGAACACTCGTCTGCCAATCTGATCGCATACAACTACTTCTCCCTAGTCAAAGACATTGAGCGCCTGAATGATCTGTGTACAATCGCTCGCAACCTCCTCGCCACAACCAAGAAGGCACAGAACCTGGCGGCGGAAACAGGATTTGACCAAAGAATTCTAGCCCTCATCGATACCTGTGTTCGTGTCACCGCTCGAGGCTTCGATGGTGAGCAAAATGCGCGGAACGAGGAGCGATGGCAGAAAGTCGTCAACCTCTACAAGCGCCTCCTGATTACGTGCCTCCAGTACCTTCACAACTTCATTATGCACAACGAGCATCGCAAGATGGTGCTCTGGTTGGATCTGTTTGGTTACCACTCGACCGCTGATACGAACATCATAAAGCCCAAGGAGCCTTTGGACGATGCCAGTTCGCGAGAAGGAGTGGCGCCCATTGTACAAGTTGGAGAGCGTGTCATCAACCCGCCGATTCGCGCGCTTTATGACCAAACTGCGGAGGACTTGCTCTTGGAGACTATCGCCAAATTCCCGCGGGAGCCGGCAACTATCAAGGAAGAGGCTGCCATGCTGCTTCTGGCCAACATTAAGGATCACATGGAGAGGATCTTGGGGCGAGACCTCAGCGCTATTCAGGAGATGGGCAGAGACCCAGACCAGGTCAAAGATATCAGGGCTGCTTTGACTGCGATACTTGGGGCTAAGGTTGATGGTTGGTCTGACCTCCAGGACCGGGCTCGGGAGCTCCCGGCTGTGCTTCCCGAAGAAGATCACGAGGAGTCTGAAGACCATGAAGACCAGGAGCATGATGATCACAGGGAACATGACGAGGAAGGAGAGGAACACGAAGTCACCAAGAAGAAGACTATCCTGACTATTGATCGCAGTCTCACGGCTGGTTTCCCTCGTCTTTGCTGGGCCGATCTTCCAGAGATCAACGATTTTGGCGCTGTGGATGGACCTGTTACAGACGAAGATACCAGTATGCCTCGGTCAGCTCAATCTGCCGCTGAGACACTCCAAGAGGCCAAGGACGAACTTATGGCTCGGCTCCAAGAGCCATCACATATCGATGGCGACGAAGAGCACGACTATGACCACGGCGATGCACACACAGTGGGGGATGATGATTCGCACAGCCTAGATCACATGGCTGACGGGAGTGTTGATGGAGATGGCGAGGATGACGTGGATGACGACGGCGTTGATGGAGAAGCCGATGACGAAGAAGAGGAAGATGATGAATACCGCGGCCGTCCTGGTGATCAACAGCGGGGTCTTCTCACAGATATTCCTCTGGTCCTTGGACCGGCAGAAATTGAAGCTTTGCCTATGATTGTTCAGGCCGGTATTGTGGACAGCTTTGGCCTCAAGGGCGGCGAACGGAACGGATCCAGGAACATGCAAGCGCTCCGTTGTCACATCCTGCTCACGCAGGAGACAGGTCGTAACCTATTGCGTGAACTACTCATTTTCATTGCGGCATGGGATCTCCCCGACGACGAGCTCTACTTCAAGATGATGGTCCAGATCATGGAGGCCGTGCTTAAGAACGGCCTGATGTCCCATGCCTACTCGGACTTCGGTCAGCCCAAGGACATAATTTCCCCGGCACAGGCTGTTGTGATCAAGATCCTCACCCACATCTTCCGAGCCAAGTACTCTCCTGCTTCGGTGACTGGCTCGGCTCAGCCCAACATTCCCCGCAACCCGAGCTCACTCAACCGAGTTGATATTCTCACTGTCCGATACATCTTCACTATCTTCCGTGGCAACATCATCCCTGAGACTTGTGCTCTGATCTACCTCCAAGGCCAGATCCGCGCCCAGCGGGCTCTTTCAGAGGACTTCCCGCTCAATCTATGGGACATGGAACGGGTATACGAAGGTGTCTACCAGTTTTTGGAGTTCTTCGCCGTGCTGACCGAAAACAACGACTGGAAGAACCTGCTGGTCAAGTGGGAGATTGTCTATGACCTGGTGACCTTGATCAAGGAGTTGGAAGCAAGCATCCCCAAGGGCCAGCTGAACCAATTGTCCTTTGGCTCCGTGCCCCCTCCCCCTCCTCCCCGAAGCGACACCGCAAACGATGCCTCGGGCGCCAATCCCCCGGCCCCTGTTGCCGTCGAACGTCCTTACGATCCCAGTGACCCAGACCCTGTCGAAACTGGTGCAGGTAGCGTCGACTCTCGACCCGAGTCCCCTCCAATCACGGAGGATCCTTCCGAGTTCGAATGGCGCAACCTCAAGAAACTGGTCGTGCTTGTGCTCTCCTCGCTTGTTTGGAAGTGTCCCGATGTCCAAGAGCAGATCCGTCGTTACGGCGGTGTTGAGGCGATTCTTTGCTGCACTGCTTTCGACGCTCACAACCCGTACATCAAGGAGCATGCTGTGATGTGCCTGAAGTTCTTGCTGGAGGGTAACCGTGAGAACCAGCGCCTTGTTGAGGAGCTCGAGGCTCGCGAGGTTGTCAACAATGACGGTGGCGTGCTGGAGCGGAGTGGCTACGAAGCGATGATCAACCAGGCAGGCAAGTTGGCCATCCGGTCCAAGGCTCGGGCTGAGGAAATTTTATGAAACATTGAAGTTACGTGTGATGAATTCTGTACCGAATACTGTACATAGAGTAGACGGAAAATTCCCGAATGATATTTTTGAATGATTACAACATGTTTCCTCCCGTAGGATTCATGATTTATATAGATATTTACCTGGTAGTGGTGGTTGCTTTTAGAAATCGATGGATGGCTCATGTTTCCAAAAGAAGGTGGGTCTACATATGTCGATGCCTGAACATCCGATATCTCTGCCTGCAGATCTTTCTGGTCTATAGGGAACTGATCAAGGATCTTACTGTCTACAGGATTACTTGGAATTACTAGGCGGACTAGGATGATGTATACTTCAAGTTTTAGCAGATTATTTTCTATCATCGACCAACAAGATAGTCGCTAATTGTGATTGATGTCTAGTAGGTCATCTCAGCAGCTATCTTTATCCGACCTTTTTACCAGGACTACAGATAATAAGTTGATTACTGCTCGAAAGTTGCCAATAACCCTTTTCTCCTCTGACTTTCCACGACTTCTTAACCGACGTCTCTAAGACTAACATAAAAACAACACCTATGGTAGATATCCGTTGAACATGAATGTATCTACCATAGGCACATTCAAACTCATCTAGCTTCACAAAAAGTAACAAACCGCTAGCACTACACTGCAGTGCTAGCCAAACATATATTATAGCCCCACCCACTCGAGTTCCATCAAGGTGAGCCGCCTCGAAAGACATGGGAGTATGGGGCAGGGAACTGGGGCGACGCACTCGGGCCGAGTATCTCATGCACTATCCCTACGCATAGGAGGCATCCAGATATCCGGTCTTTGTGTCTTGCGTCTGTTATCGGAAGGTATGCTGACAATAATCCAGCGGTTAAGGAGATGGGGGTTGATCATGGTATTCAGACAAGTATCCAGCAAGCTGGAACTTGCGACCAATATCAGTTTCCATCTGCTCGACGCGCCATGTCAGTTCCTTGATTTCCTCTATTAAATAGAGGCCCGACTCCAGATCGAGAGTGCGAGTACTACGCAGTTTCGGCCAAAACTGCATAGCTTGGTACTCGGTCCACTCCTTGACGAGAATCATGATTATCATGATCGTCAGTCCCAGTATGAGAAAAAAGAAAACGAGGGCGAGGGTCTCCATTGGTGATGACATTGTGGTGGTACGATGAAGGGGGCTGGGATACTCACTGGTAAGTATCTTGATTTCCAAAAGAAGGTGGTTCGGGTATCTAAACGTGGAAATGGTAACCTGGGAAGTAAGCGAGTATGTAGATGTAGTTGCACAGGGGTGAATGGGAGGAGAAAATACCCTGGTAATGTGTGATACTTCGCGCGTGAAGTCGCTGTCTGTGACTCGGTTCAAGTATAAAGAAAGATGGTTTGAGATGTAGAGAGGATGTGATGTGGAATGAAAAATTATATCGATCAGGACTTGGGGACTTGATATTTATATGTGAGCAGCGGGAAGATCCTCGATGAGGACTGCGGATTAAACAATGAACTTGTATGGCCTTTGTTAAGCAGGTAATCAAAGACATAGACAAAGACATAATTGCAACTGTCCCAAAAGTTGGTCAAAGAGAGGACAAACGTCTTTGAAGTTGGTTCGATAATTAGATTATGAAAGGGACAAAGGACTCGTGGATGCCATCGAGGTATGCATCTCCGGAAAGGCCCCGAGATATTGACTCGAAAGGGAAGTGCTAAAGCAGTTCTGAATCTGTTCTGAATCTAAAATGCCGAGATTATACACCCAAAATACCATTGTTGACCTACCTTGCATCTTGTTCCGCGTCTCTTCACATAATTTATCTAGGTGATAGCTTGTGTCCTGTTCGAGTATCATACTTTCAATATCCATTTGGTTGGAATGTACATGATCAATAAATGCAACAGTCATTCACTCATGCTAAGATAGGAAATACTGCCATGTAATCTCCATCACAGTAGACAGTTTAAAATGCACTTTTATGCATAGTCTCTTGTCGAATCTCTTCAGCCATACATACCATCCCATTCCTCCTCCTCATCCTCCTCAACAAGCTTCTTCTTCGCCTCCACCTTATCTCTCAATTGCTTCGCAAAGTCGATACGGTCAAGCGGACACGTCCCGCGCAGCCGCAGCCAAGGCCGCACACACTCGAGATCGAAGCGGTGTGTCGGGTGGCAGGGCAGCTGGACGACGAGCGGGTAGGCATCTTCCATGAAGGGATTGTTGCAGATAGGACAGGTATCAGCTGGTTTGAGGGACGCTTTGGGAACACGTTCGAGCGCTAGAGAAATCCAGACGTGGTTAGTTTTGTAAATAACAAGGGAATACCCCGCTGAGTGCGGGGGAAGTTGATGGACACAGCGAGCTAGGGGAATGCTTCTTACTATCACAGAATTCCTCATCAACACCCTCCACCTCCCGCGGCGGCGTATCTGCCTGTGCGAGTAGCGACTGGATCATCGTGGTCAACAGATCGCGACCGGTATCTGAGTCGGCGTTATCGGTGCCCTCCTGCGCGTCCGGGTGCGGCGCGGAATCGGCCTCGCGCCGCATCATATCCAACGCCTCTGCGAGAGAGAAGAATGCTGCGCTCACATCTCCTGGCACGGGGACTGCATGGGGTCTGTGGTCGGGAGCTGGAGTGATCTGGGACAGGGTTGAGAAGAATGTGGAGAGGTCGGGGCGGCAGCGGCGTGCGTTGGTGGCCGTTGAGGGGTCGGTGGTGTTGTGTTCGACTGGAATGATGTTAGTTTTGGAGATTCTGGGTCTATTTGAGCAATGGGGATCGGTACTTTCGTAGGTCGACATGGTGGGGGATGGAGGACTCTCAAGCTTTCGGAGGAGCTGTTTTATGAGGAATTTGGGCCGGGAGAGCCCATGTGTTGTGTGACAGCTTTGAAATTGTTTGCTCTTGTTGCACAAGATTGAGCTGTAAAAGGGAAATGGAGATCAGGTGTTGGTGGTGTAGATTGTTTTTATAGCGAAGTTCCCCGAAGGCAGAGAGTCGATAACGCGGCGCGGCAGTTCTGATTGGTTCATCACTATACAAGCTCTTAGAAGGCCCAAACTGAGATGTTAAGCATCAAATGATGCATGATTTGATAATTGCAAGGGAAATGGATAGTTTGAATACTTTGAGTGAATTAGGAGACTGAAATTGCTATATATCCATGGACATTCTTGGACTATTCTATTTGTTATGTGCCAGAGGGTATTTAGAATTCCCCATTGCTGCGAATTTGAAGGATAATCTCATTATTAAACAGAATACTGGTTCATTTTAAATAGGTATTAACTCATATCATACACAAACTGTTCGTGAAGCTTCCAGGTATTCACAGGTATCCCTGTCATCTTCAAGGCTTGGGCAGCAGGGCAGATGACGCGATGAATAATCCCCGCCATCGCCTACGTACCTACACTTTCTTTTGCTTTCAACATAGGATATCTCATAGCTTCTCAGTCTATTAATTTCCCCTCATACTAAATGACTTCACTTCTAACCAACACTGTGCCCTGGCACGAGGGCGAGGAGAAATTACACCAGTGGCTTCGAGTCCCTCACGGCAGCAACCCGACTTCCCCGTTCTTGAGCCCAAGAGCTGCGTCTCTTGTTCAGCAATGCCCGATCCTTGCCCTGGGTACATTGGATTCCCAAGGCCGGCCATGGTCAACAATATGGGGCGGCACAGCGGGCTTTGCAACGCCAGTTTCCGAATCGCTGATCGGGCTTCAAACACAAGTGGACAGCAAATACGACCCCGTTGTGCAGGCATTATTGACCGGAAATCAAACTGAGGCATACAAAGGCAAGATGGTTTCGGGCCTGGCAGTCGACTTGGAGAACCGTCGGAGGGTGAAATTGTATGGCAGGATGGTGACGGGCTCACTTTCTGATGGAGACGCAGGACAGGCACAGTTGGTTGTCCACATTGAAGAGAGCCTTGGGAACTGTCCCAAGTACATGAACAAAAAGCACATTGTGCCTGCAAAGCCTGATTCCAAGCTTATCTCCGACTCGCCACAATTGAGTGCTACTGCAGTTGAGCTGCTCTCTCGTGCAGATACCATATTTATATCCTCATCCCATGGAGCAACAACCATGGATACAAACAACCGTGGTGGTCCACCAGGATTTATGCGTGTTCAATCCAACAATGCTAGCGGTGCTGTTATTGTTTATCCCGAGTACTCGGGAAATAGACTCTACCAAACGCTGGGGAATCTGGAAACAACCCCGCTGGCTGGTTTTGTCGTTCCCGATTTTGACACCGGCAACGTCCTTTATTTCACTGGATCGACCGAGATATTAGCTGGGAAAGATGCAGCTGCTGTCTTACCAAGATCGAATCTCGCCGTGCGAGTCACCATTGCTGCTGCAATCTTTGTTGAAAATGGGCTGGGCTTCCGTGGCGAGGCCGGAGATCCTTCTCCATACAATCCCAGCGTGCGATATCTCGTCAATGAGAAACAAGTCCCTGGCACTCAAAAAGTCAATGATCCAGAGTCAATGGCAACTTTGATAAAAAAAGAAGACATTACACCATCGATCCAACGGTTTCGGTTCCGCATCTCCGGCCGCAAAGCAATTTCATGGAGTGCGGGACAGTACGTCACACTGTCATTTGAAGATGAGTTGAATATGGGCTATAGCCACATGCGAGATGACGATCCGACCAGTCTAAACGATGACTTTGTTCGAACATTCACCGTGTCTTCGTATCCCGGTCGCAATATGCCCGCTGATCAATTCGAGATCATGGTCCGGCGACATGGCCCCGTTACCAAATATCTGTCTCAAGTAAATGAGAGAGCCGGTCTAGAAGTACCACTTAAGGGATTCGGGGGAAGCTTCAATGTATCCTCTGGAAAGTCGATCGTCCCCTATGTGGCGGGCGGTATTGGCATCACACCCCTTCTTGCACAGCTTCCAGAATTGGATATATCCCAGCTGCGATTATTCTGGTCAATCTCGTTCAATGATTTGGGGCTGGTGCATGATGTTTTCCAGCGGTGGCCCCAGTTGCCCCTATCAACCACTTTGTTTATCACGAATGTGGAGCTCGATGGAGCCGATCGGCAGATGTGGGACGGCATTCAGTCGTCTGGGGTGCAAATTATACGACGACGCATGCAGGCTGGGGACTTGGACCTTGCGCTAGCAGATGTTTGGTATCTCTGCGCAGGTGTTGCGTTGAAGGGGATGATTCTAAATTGGCTGGTGGGAAAAACGGTGGTTTATGAGGATTTCAACTATTGAAGAAGGGTACCTATTGAAGTTGATCTGGATAATTATTTTACGTTTGCAATATCTCCATTATTTAATATACAACTCTTTAATCTGAAACATTTGTACGAAGATTCAAAGCTGCGCCGATGAAAATATAAAAATAGCGCCATGACGCACGCCCCAGACATGTCAAAGTGGAGCGCCGATCATGAAGGTGTTGCCCTTAGGTAGGGGCTTTCTCGTGTGGATTTCTTTTCTTTCATCTTCACATCTTCACATCTCGCCATGCGATCACCTTCAGTCAAACCCTCGGCATATCCGCCGCTGCCATTTCATCTCATTCGCTTCCTGATCTTTCTCTCCTCAATCGTCGTAGGCGTGATCTTGGCAGTGTTTACCTACCACCTCCACGCCGATGGCTACAAATTACCATATTCATTCCTGGTGGTAAGTAAATATTCAAATACCATACCCCCTCCGTAATAAATGCTAACAAAAAACCCTAGCTCTTCGTCTCATCGGGCCTCTCCCTCCTCAACCTACTCCTAACCTCAGTAATCCACTGCAGCTGCGGCCTATCAACAAAACTCTCCATATCCCTCAACATCCTCCTAACAATCCTCTGGGCGCTATCCCTGGGCCTGCTAAGCTGGAGCTTGTCGAGCACCATAACAACATCATGCACAACAACCTACTGGGGCAACTCAACGGGCATCGCCGTCTGCCGAAGCTACAAAGCCCTCTTCACATTTAACATCATCGGCCTGGTCAGCTACATCGCCGCAGTCTGGCTGGACGTGATCGTTCGCCGTCGCCAGACCCGTCTCGGCACCTACGACCCCATGGGCTCCCACCCAGGTCTCGATGACTCGGGCGCCTTCGATGTCAAAATGGATGACCGCCTCAGCGAGTCCACCCCCGCCTTGCACGATTATGATAATGTGCCCCCTGCGATGTCTGGTGCCCACAATCAGGGATATGGTCAGGGACATGGCCAGGAAAATAGTCAGGCGCATGCGCAGGGACCCCCGGTTTATGAGCAGAACTTGGAGCATGCGCATACTGGTGAGGCGCAGAATTATTATGATACTGCGCCTGGGATGAGTCACCGTGGTGCGCCCAGGGTGCGGTTTAGTCCTCATGATCAGGATGGGCAGCAGAGGCCTGCGGAGAACACTGGGTATGACCCTGCTATGTATCGCTGAGCGATCCTTTTGTATTTAGGGGTTATGTCCTTTTTCTTTCTTTTGATTTAATGATAGCAAGCGGGATTTTACGATGTTTATCTGGGATTGAATCTGAAGGTTTATATTCGAGTGTTTTGGGCTGATGACACGAAATCTGCATGACGGCGTTTCGGGGGATTGATTACTGGGATATGTGATATGTATAGGGAAATAATACCCAACACACAGATATATCAAATAGCAATGCAAGAAATCCAACGACTCTTTCATTTTGGGTTCGTTTTAGATAGATTAAAACAAAAAGATCATTAGATCGGCTGCGCTCACAAAGCAAATAACCATCCAACCAGAAGATAAGATGAGATGAGACAAATCCGACGATGGAGCGTATTAACGAGAAGATCATTATAAATTTCGACCAAGAATGACCAAAACTCAGTTTACATAATGACCTCGTTGGACACATCCTATAGCAAATGTTAGTCAATGGCTCATAGAAAAGAAACAAGAATAATACATACCCGCTTGAGCTCCTTGTAAGGCAGACACACGCAGTTCTGCACGCGGACCTCGTCGCCAACACCACAATCCTTGCCAAGAATGGTGATGCTCTGCACCTTGACACCCTGCTTGACAATGCTGGTAGAGTGGCTGGTCACGGGGATGGGGGTGCCCTCCACGCGAGCCCAGGCACCGACACGGCTGCTCCAGCCGATGATCGAGTGCATGACGCAAGCGTCGTGGCGGATCTCGGAGTCCTCGAGAACGATCGAGTCCTTGATACGGGCACCGGCGCCGACCACGACACGCGGGCCGATCGAGACGTTAGGGCCGAGCTTGGCGGTGGGGTCGACGGAGGCAGTGGGGTGGATGTAGACCGGAGGCACGATGGTGGCAGAGGGGGCGGTGAGTTCAGGCGACTCGGCCTGGAATGCCTTTTGGAGGTACAGGGCGTTGGCAGGCACGGCAGAGCCGGCGGACTTGATCTGGCGCCAGAAGTCCTTGGTTTCGTGGACGAAGAAGCGGTTGCTGTCCGCCAGATCGGAGAGGATGTCTTGCTCCAGACGGAGGACCTCGCTCTTCTCGGCGTCCTCGTCGTCTCCGGTGGCTACGAAGGAGGATTCCAGGTTGTCGGAGGAGGGGTAAGAGAGGAAGCGGGGGCGGGTGGTGCGGCGCTTGATGGCGCTGCGAATGGCGGGGAAAATGCACTCGGTAGCGAAGAGGTAGACACCGCAGTTGATCAGGTTGGAGATGTGCGACTCGGGCTTCTCGACGTAGTGCAGCACACGCTTGGTGTGCGAATCGGACACGATGCATCCGAAGTTCGTGGCGGTGTCGTTCGACACCCGTGTACCCAGGATCACCGCCTCGGCGTCCTTCTCCTCGAATAGTCGCATCATCTCGCCCAGCGGGAATGAGCAGCAGACATCGGCGTTCAGCACGAGCAGTCGCTCGGGCTTGCCCTTGAGGATCGCATCACGGAAGTGGTACAGCCCACCGGCGGTGCCCAACGCTGTGTACTCCCGCAGGTAGAGGATGCGGAGTTGGGGGTATTCCTTCGAGGCATCCTTGATAAAATCCCGGAATACGCTCTCATCATAGTATCCGACCAACATCACTTCGCGTACATCGGGGACCTTAGCCACCGCCTTCAGGCAGTGATGGATGATGGGGTGGCCGGCGACTTCGAATAGGGGCTATAGGAATTGCGGTGTCAATTATTGTCCAGCGCAGATCATTATAGACGATCGAATGAGATGCAGATGCATACCTTTGGCACATCGAGCGACAATGGACGGAACCGAGTGCCTCTTGAGGGGCCTCCGACCTGTGGACAAGGTGTCAGTTATTGTTTATCGCGATGATTCCGTTACTCACCAAGATCACAGCCTTGGTGGAAGCCTGAGTATTGTGATTTTCACGCATTGGTATATGAAGCATAACGGTATGCAAGGAGATGTGAAGACTAGAATTATAAGAAAAGGCCAGAGAGACCCCGAAGCTCCCAAAAACGCCAAGACGACGCTTTCGGTGGGGCACCTGACAACATTTTACTCCTTTCGGCCTCACACGTTTTCAATGCTGAGCTGATTTAATTTCTAAATAGTTTTTGTCTTGATATATACTATATAAATCTACCCCTTGCTGGTGCTATTTTTAACAGTATCTGACCATCTCGATAGTTGTGGGGTACTGGGATCTGATAACCTCTCAATGACGTGCCCTTGATTGGCGGTGTGTTCCTATACACCCTGCCCAACAATTAGGGCTTGCACTAATGGTAAGAGCAAATGATATTCATTCTTGTAGACATTCAATCTCGTTTGTATTCAAGCATCGATTATTGACTTTTACCTGCTTATGAAACTACTACGGGATTATCCATTTATGATACATGATCTTTGTTAAGCTGGAAATATCCGAACTCCTCTCAATGCCTTGAGTCCTGATCTTCGTCACTCATAGCAGCATCCTCAAACCTTTGGGAAAGTGACCTTTCATACTCCTGCTTGTCTCGGAGCTTGACAGATAATACTTTTCTTTATCATTAGGACCTGAGGAGTCTGATGAAACAAACCCTTGCAAAATCATCTCTCAATTGACTCCAAGGAGCAAAATGGGATAAGGATGTTGAAAGAAGAGGTTGAATAGACCTTTGGACCATTGAAATCATGGAATACCAGGAGGTTCTGGGTTGCCAACTACTTTGATTTAGGATTGAAGCTCACTTGTCATTGATGCTGATCGGGATGGAGATGGTTGGAGGAACTCAGTGTATTGAAAGAGACAAGCTGGATACAGTACCAGAAGACAAAAGAGAGAGAATCAAAACAGCAAGAAATACAAAGGAAAAATGGTGTCGAACTAGGAATATGCCCTGTATCTCCTCCACAAAAGGAACGGGAGCCTGAACGGGAGCCTGAACAGTAGCTTGAACAGGAACAACACAAGGGACAGGACCAGGATCGCGAAGAAGAACAGGAACGGGATCGAGAGATCCATAAAAGACAACTCCGTAGAAGACAGGTTCGTAGACAGCCCACGCCCCAAACTGTCATTCGAACTGTCATTCGCCACCTTCTCATCAATAATCTTGTCGGCTCTGAAGTCCCTCCCGTGGACTCGTATCAAGTAGGCAACAAGAAGTTTAGTTTCCTTGAACGGCCTATCTTGCTTCACCTTTCTACCTTTCTGCTCTTGCCATGTTTCATTCCCCTCCTTTCGTTCATCGTGATACTTATTCTCAAAGACCAATTTCGCACTTGGGCCGGTCTTAGCTTTCCTCTTACCCTTCTTCTTCCCTTTACCTTTACCTTTGCCCTTACCTTTTTTCTTAGCCTTCCCCCTAGCCTTTCTGGCTAAGTTCATGTTGCGCTTTTGGTAACAATTGCCACAAATTATGCGATCCCATGTTAGATTGCTGTCCTGGGTCCGATCGAGCGATTTCTTGCCGAGAGTACACCACCTCTTTGCGTAGAGCACATGACAATCTTCACACCGAATTTCAAGCGCCTCGAGGTCGCTGGCCTTGATTCCAAAAGACCCGTGGCTATCGCAATGATAAGCACAGTCCTTGCAGATCCACTCCTTAAGAGTTGGATGCCATTTCCGTTCAGCTCGCCAGTCTTCGTGGGAAAGTGATTTGGACTTCTGTTTTTGAAAGGGAATATAGCAATGCCAGCAGTTGTTCCTTTCCCTTGTCTTCCTAAATCGCTTTTCTGTATTGCTCTTTTGCCAACATGGCACACATGTTCGGTACGTCTTCCAGGCAGTGGGATTCGAATTCCCACAGCTCAAACACGTCAGGTTTGAATGTTTGTTTTCCCGGGCTTCTCGGTCGCGTCTCCTCTGGCGACGCATAGCACAAGTAGAACACCAGTATTGGTTGTTTTTCTTGCCATTCAGATCAGAGGCGCTATGGAAATGCCCTTTGGTCTCTGTGGCACCACAGTCTGAACAGTACTTTTTCCTTTTCGGGGGACGATCAATTCCGAACTTCGACCAATGAGTGCGGCAACTAGAACAGAGGATACCTTCTATGATTTTCGGATGCCAATTCCATGAGGTAGACTCAGTCGCTTCACAGTTCGAGCACGGCCCAGCAGTGGGCCGGGGACGCAAACTAACAAACAACTCCGCTGGTCGAACACAGTCATTCCGGAATCTGTACCAGTAGCAAGCCGAGCAATTGTACAATACAGCAACTTCGCAAGCGGCTGGGTCATAATACCATCCATTGCCTCCGGTGGTCAGGCTTCGACAATTTTGACATGCACGCGCACCAACAGTCCATCCGCACTTCTGTTTCAATGGCATGGCGTGGTTGAGAGGATGAAAAATGTTTAGGGGTATCTCGCACTGTGCAAGTGACTCGAGGTACATCTCATTGGTATAACCGTAAAGTCGTCTGGATTTTCTGGTTTGACTGGATCCATAAGTGTCCAGTAGATGTATCACCACTTGCTCAAGCAGGCGAACGAGCCATCTCGTATCCGCATGTGGAACTTCGATCTCCTCCAACTGGCTCGGAAAAATTGCAATTTGTCGATAAGACGGTACAAGCCCATACTTCTTGGCATAGCAGTAGAGATACATCGCTATATCGCCATTAGGTAAGACTCGATCATTGCGTAATTTTGTCCTAGCAATTTGCTTGAACTTGGCACGATGGTCGACACAGCGCCCAGAAACACTTTTGATGCTGGATCCTGTATACAGTCCACTGGGAACCTCGACCTGCTGATCAGTGTTGGACTCGATCAATTCTTCGTCAAGCACCTGAAGCTCCTTGTCATCAGGTTGTGTCAAAAAGATCACATAGACGCCAGGACAACCGAGCGAGTCATCAACGCTTGGTAGAGCCATGATATCCTCGTTGGTGAGAGTAGAACGCCCAAGAATTGCTCTTGTTGATGCTGGGATGACCTCTTTGAATATTTGGCTAATCTTCTCCGCTGAAGACCTCCCTATCGGCCGCTTGAAACCACGATAGACCCAAGTTTCTGCTGAGATCGTCTCGTCCCAGTCGGTCTCATCTGTCTTCATCTTCAGGAACTCCGTTGTATTTCCCACTCTTCTGTCGCACCTCTCAAGGCAGACATCCTCAGGCTCGTCGAGGCTGGAGGGGGAATTGGTTGGGTCAAAGGGTCCATCAATTGCCGGTCGAGGAATAGTGAGCTCGTTGTCGTCGTCATCACCATCTTCGTCATCACCATCTTCGTCATCGTCCCCCTCGTCCTCTTCAACTTCCGATTCCTCCTCAACACGATCCTCAGAGTCTGGGAAACAACCACGCGTATCCACCTCTTCATCATCATCATCCGGGCCGTACTGAGAAACGGTCTCATCTTCAAGGTGGTCTTCGTCCTCTGAAGGATGCTCGGGCTGGCTGGATGCCATTTTGCAGTTGCGAAGTCCTGTAACTCATGTGGTTAATTTCGTTGATCAAAATATAGAGCCTAGACTTCCGAGGGTCAAGTCCGTCACACATACTTGAAAAAAGTCCGCAAATGGCGCAACGGCTGTAAAAATGAACAGTAACAACTTTTCTAGATATCAATGCCCCCTGAGAAAGGGTATTGGTGAAGATGGAGAGAAGAAATGCTACAGACTTAGAGGATAGTATTCTATGAAGTAAGGCTAAGACATCAGATATGGGCCGCTCTTCCTTCCATTGGTCGATAGTTAAAACCGTGGATAAAGAACCGGGCCATGCACTATGCAATATACCGGTAGCCTAGTGCAAACAGCTTAGGATCAACTAGGGCTACATACGCTGGATTAGCCAGGATATGCAGGCCACCACTGAATACCGGGGTGAATATCCGTTGACCGCTATGATTTAGGTTAGGTTCCCCCTGATTAACTTGTGTCTCAAATCTAGATTATCAGGCATCATTCACTCTGATTATACAGTTTTGAGATCAAAAATCCTGCATTAATATACTACCTGGTGTCAGAATTAATGTGGAACATTGAGAAATTAATGCGAACAATGAAATATGTGAGACTATTTACATACTCTTTTCTAATTGAATTTGGAAGAAGAGATTCGAGGCATTACTTTCATGTTAGTTTGTCTAATACTCTGTATGACATATATTGAATAAGGTCATTCAATTAAAGACTTGTTGTATCAGATATTATCTTGGTGTCTGTATGACTGTGTCTCTGTAGGTTTGTACCCACCGCTATAGTCTTTTGAATGAAATATTAGTTTTATGATTGCCGAGGAGGAGCCAAGTCATACATTATGCACTATGACAACGAGTCTAGTGCAAACAGCCCTGAGCTAATCAGGGATGTGTGTCCTAGACTGGCTTAGATATGCAAACTGCCATATAATGCAATCTCTTTTGAGTAACGAATCTTCATTGACCGCCATGATGATGCGGGTACATGAGCAGTATAGCAACTTTTATGATGCCAGCTGTTGTAGTACAGAGGGGGTGAACAGCGTAGGCTAACCGTTGCGCAGGTGAGAGGTATATAGTTACCTAATACTACTGGTTTCACTCTGGAGTTGACTAGGAGTGAGTCTATTCCTCATACCTTGAGAGATGTGAATTATTTACCAGGATAGATAGAATTAGAGTGTCTACCTAGGTCATATCAAATAAATTTTGAGATAGGTAGCTTCTATTACGCTTATAGCGCGCTAATAGATGCTTGGCAGAGAACTATAGGGGATGCTAACGCGTAATAATCAACACAAAGATCTAGAATAAGGACAGACCTGATTATTAAAGATGGTGGATGTGAAAGTTAAGAGCTCTACACTATTCCCATAATCAGAGTGGACTTCCAAGGTTGCTGAGAATAGTCACTTCAAGCCCACATAGTACGGGATATTCATGGCCTAATTTACTCTCACCTTGCTCTCACTTCGCTCTCACTTTCAGTTTACTTCGATCTGATATGTACCTTATTCGAATATTGGAATGTTAGTTGATCATTTATCTCATCCTTGGTCATATGTCCTGTGTCGTTTGCTGTCAGTCATCTTCTCGTGGCTTCTCTCAGAAGTTTTCTCTCTCTTCACTGCACTTGATATTTCCAGATCCTGCTATCCAGTATTTTACCTACATCTTTAACAACTTGAGTCCTTCGTGTTGCATTCGCAACGCCCCTACTGCCGAGCTCTCGTCACCAATCTGGCACCTTCTACTGAGCTTTGAGATCCTATTTCCATCATTCGTCAGCCACTACGACACCTTGACCAATCAACTACCTATTCTTCACCCACACCCTCAGCCTACCACACCGAGTCCCACGAGTGAGGCTGTCAACTACCCGCAAAGGCAAAGGGTCACCACCGGTTCACAACTCGTTTTTTGCTTTCTTGCTCCACCCATACACATACCAACGCTGCCGACGACTCACTCTAAGGGGATGCGTTAACAATACCACATCGCCTTGACCTCCTTTTACGGTAGTGGGTGTTATGCACCGTGATGCATAAATCGTGTTTTCTGGGCGCTGGGTCGACCAAAGTCTTCACTTCAAGCGAATTGACAGCAAGGATTTACGCGATCCATTGCTTCTTGACCCCTGTGCCTTCCTTTCCCCCCAAACTTTGAGATCCCATTTGCACTTCATCACCTGTTCCTAACCACCGTCTGCAATCTGCATTTTCTTCCTTCTACATCCCTCCGTGCTCTCATCCTAACTAGGCTGGTCGGTGGTTCCATCTCTCCCTACTTGTGATCAACATGCTGATCTTTCCCTAGCTCTCATTTGCCGTCTTATATTCACTATCATACCCCTTAAAGGCAAAACAACTCATCCAACCACACCCATACCACTACTGCGGTATTTGACAGATATAGTGGTAATAGAGTGATGTATCTCTACTGCTACGCCAGGGTAGGTAGGCTTATACCATGTTACCGGCATATTGGAATTTTTTCAGAGCACTTACAGGGAATCGACTTTCCATGTGCGAATACAAAATGGCTAGTTCGTCTACTTGGGCAATTCATGATGCTTGTTGAAGGACCAAGCTGGTCGACTCGTGAAGAGAAAACGACAATGTGCAAAGTGTCGGAAACAAGACACAAATAGGCACTGGCACTGTGCCTACAACACTCACGGACAAAGGATTGAAGGCAATTGGCGCTCGGTTTGTGGGATGCAACACAAAAGGGACACGGACAAGGCAGCCAAGCAGATTAACTACGCAAACTGCACATGTGCAGTTTGCGAAGGGTCTAACCTTCCTGCTTGGATGTCGACCACTTTCTGCTTGTCGTGGTGGAAAAAGAAAAAACCTGGATAACCTCTAGAACGAGTTCTGGAGCAGGAGCGATTGCAGGCACTGCCGTCGTCCCTTCCGGAAAAGGATAAGCGAGCCATATTCCAACAAAGAGTGGAGATTTGTACGATATTGGCACCCGGAGTTAAAAGAATGGATATCCACCTATGTCGCGTGAAGGGCCGATATAGTGGATGTTTTGGGATTACCATAACCCACTTGGAGGACTTGGAGATTAGATGCGAAGATTGCGGTACCCTCTATTCAATTGGACTACGCTGGGTCAAAAGTTGCTCGATCGCATACAAGACACTAGCCTCACGCGGGATCGAATTGCCTGTGCAAAATGCTACCAGAAACGAAACAAGAGCTTGCTCAGGAAAGCTACGGGGAAGGATGAAAGCGCGGAGATAGTCTTTGCGAATATGTCCAACTACCCTCGAATGCCCAAAGAGTCTACCTGGCAAGAGTGGGCAGGTAAAGACTTGGGAGATCAACCATTATCCGAAACTAAACATCTCCTGGCCTACTTGCTACGAGTTCATGGGGTGGACTTCAATATTGACAAAACCGTTGCCCAGAAGATGGCGGAGGACGACATGCGGTTGGACTGTGATTGATATATGCATTGGCTAAGAATTAAATGCTCGCCTCGGCTGGTTTTTCCCTGCTTGTAGGTGCTAGTATCTTGTAACGTAGGTCAATGTGGTTAGTATGCATACAAAGCTGGTGGTGCGTACGAAACACAGACTCGGCGACTCTGAAACAATGTGCTGCTCTACTCATATAGGCAGTTTATTTTACGTACATTGTACCTGGGCTATAGTTTGGTGTATTGCACAGATAGTTCTTAAAGTAATTAGAGATGACACAAGCCCTTTATTCCAGGGTTCATAATCTGTTATAGTTTTACAGGAATTCTTCATTGTATTTCAGGGTGAATACGAGAAGCTAGATATACAACGTCAAAAACTAGGTTGAATCACTATCAACTTCAGCATTTATCATCGTCCAACCCTTGCCTTTTAGATGTAAGCTCCCTCGATTGTTAGGGCTCATATCTGCCAGCCCATAGTTCCCATTACTTCGACGAGAAACGTCACCGGCTATGTCCGTGACGTTGTTATCCGCAACGATCAAATCTGCCGGGCCAGTATCAACCCGTGAAAGAACTCCAGTTTCGGACTGTGTCAGATTCGATTTTGAGAGCGAGCGAGCGGTCGAGACCACGCCTTTGGTAAAATATTTGACAATTGGGGTCATGGTAGGTAAACAGGCAGAAATGACGCCTGCGGCGGTCTCAACAACACACCAGGTTTGTGCGTCGGCGAGAGTCCAAGCCACGTCGTTTATATCGAAGATGAAAATGAGGCTGAAGCGATAGATGCTCGCAAACACGACGCTATTCAATCTCGTTAGTATATACGCAAACATCCGATTTTTGAAGACACATATAGCACGTACAAACTTCCTGTCAAAAACACGCATATAATTGATACACGCTGCCATAGACTTGCTTGTAACCCCCAAATGAGTTTTGCCGGCATAGCCAAAATGAATATGTCCACCACAAAATTTGGTACACCGTTCCCAATCAGTGCCCCCTTCAGAACGATGCAGTGACCAGGAAGTGTGGGATTGAAGGCCTTGGAAATCGGCCAGCACTGAAATATGGCTAGGAGATCCATGCCTATCACCCAAGCGAGGGTGATTCCGCCCAGGATAAGACCGCCAATTTTGATGAAGCGGACAGGGAAGATTCGATAGTACATGAGCAGTACAGCAAACTTTATGATACCAGCTGTTGTGATATAGAGGGGTTCAAAAGTGTAGACCAACTGTTCATCTCGAATTATGTGATTAGTCAATGCCATTGATTGAGGTCTGAAGTTGGCTAGACATGGATCTATCTCTCATACCTTAGAAACCGTGGATTGTTTATCAATAGGGATGGTAACAGTGTGTTTTCCCATGCCATATTGAATACCTTCCAATATAATTAGCTCAGATTACACTTATAGCATGCTACTTGATGCGCAACGGAGACTGACAGGCGAGGTTGACTCCCGCAATAATTAACACAAATATCTAGCATGGGGTTAGATAAGAATATCATAGATGCTGGATGCCAACGGAAGAGCTACGCACCAATCCCACAACAAGAGTCCAGTCATCCACCCCTAGGTGAATGTGCTTCATGCGCCGAGCGACTAGTCTCAGTATCAAAAAGAAAATGGCCAACACAGCTAGAACAATCGTCGTAATTCGCTGCTTGGGCTGAGTACTCTCCTTCACATTGCTGGAAGCCATTGTTATCGCATGACCCGCTTGCAAAACATCTAGCAATTGAGCAATGACATTGAAGAAGCAGGGATTTTAGATCCGAAATAAATAAAATTGGGGTTCCTTTACTCTGTACGTAGGCTTTGCCATGTGAATGTGTTAGTCCTAAATTTATTGCCTATTTAGGTAATTCTTATTACCAAGGATTACCTAAATAGGGTTAGCTAGGGGCTATGAACTTTGATTCATTAAAACCTGCATACGCCCTAATGGGAAAATGTCAAAGACCTGATTCTCATTGATTGATTTGCGCCATTAACTACGCTACCGCTGGCCGAGGAATCGCATCACGCCACATGATCCACATCGGGGACGGGCATGGGTTACATGTGCCGCATTTCTATCCCGGTGTTTTAAGAGACAATAGGCGATTTAACCAAAGTACGCTAATATGCCGAGCATCCCGCCCTTGAAATTTCGTAAATTGTCTTCGTTTCTGAGGTTTGTTGAGTTCGAAATACTATATTTACTTCATCATCTAAATCTGGATCAATGACGAACCCGACAATCGTATTTTCCCTAGGTGCCTGGGTCATCCCAGCCGTCTTTGATGCTACTCGCTCCCATCTAGAAGCTCTCGGGTTTCCCTCTGAGTGCCCCGCGCATCCTTCTATTGGCGCTGAGCCGCCCACCAAGACACTATCTGATGATGCTGCCTCCCTGCGTGGTGTTCTGACAAAGCTTGCGGACGAGGGACGGGACTTGGTTGTGGTTGCACACTCATATGGCGGCGTGGTTGCTTCCTCGTCTCTTGAAGGACTGGGTAAAACGACTCGTGCAGCCGAGGGCAAGACTGGCGGTGTTGTGAAGGTTGTATATCTGGCTGCATTTGCTCTGGACAAGGGTCAAAGCTTGTTGGGTATGCTGGGAGGAAACTATCTACCCTGGATGAAGGTCGAGGTAAGCCTATCCTGGACTATAATAGTCAATTGGAACGAGATAGGCGCCGCAAAAGGACAAAGCTGAATAGTGAATAGGGTGACTACGTTCTGGCAGATGGCGCCGGAGACATTGGCTGGCAGGATATTTCCCTGGACAAGCAGGAAAAGTGGAACTCGTTAGCACTACACACCTCGCGTGCTGTGTTCTCCGGCGAGTCTACTTTTGAGCCCTGGAGTGAGATCCCCTGCGCCTATATCGTGTGTGAGCAGGATCGGGCCCTACCGCCCCCATTCCAGGAACTTTTCGCTTCGAAGATGGGTGGACCGGAAAATACTTATCGGCTGCCTAGCTCTCATTCGCCGTTCTTGAGTATGCCGGATCGTCTAGCCGAGGTTTTGCAACAGATCGTGAAGGCATGAGCGATTTTTCAATTATAATTTGACCGACTCGATGAACTTGGTTGCATTTCGAAAGATAATTCTCAAATTACCACGTCTATATTAATTAATATAGTACGGAGCAACCTCCGTACCGATCGAGCGAATACAAATGCAAGAATGCAGCTATCAAATCTATTTCCTTGTTCGTTTCAAGCCCCCCACATCGATGTGAGACAACCGCCCCCAACCGCCCCCAAATGTACTCCGCAACCGCTAGAAAAGAATTATGATTGGAACCCCTTGCGGCACTTGGTACATAGACTGTATATCGCTTCGGCAGTTGATTATACCGTTGGATCAACATACGAATCCGTACTCAAGCTAGTTAGTGTATGGTTGATTATAACCAACTTCGGCGAAGTAGTAAGACTACAAATCACATAGTAAATGCCATAAATTACGACTTGATATCTCAACAATGGTAGTATATATAGGGGGTTCTTTATGGTTTCAGGGTTTTTAGGTGAGATCTAGCTTCTATAGGGAGTTGGAAAAATACTATCTCATTTAATATGTGTTTTACGGTGGACTCAGTATGGAATAGTGAAATACATTATGCAGACTAGCTCCATTAACATGAGAAAAACATCGCTCTTAATTAGTTTTAATCGGTACAATTTTTTTGTATTTTTGCTCTGCTATTTGAGTATTTTTTTACATTTTTCCACTTGATCAATATCTCCATCACTCCACCACAATCGAAACATATTTGAAATTGTTAGGCACTCCTCCAGAACAGCCACTTCGAGCCCACGTTTGGCTCAGTCAACGCCAGTGTATGTAGTAGAAGCCACGAGGACTACAGAACACAGACACCTCAAAAATTACCAATCCTCTTTGATGTCTGCGAGAGGAGTTGGGTCGGAATCTTCCATTTCAACGTCTGAATCTCGGACGGAGTCCAGCCATTCTTGAGCTTTGCTGAACTTCTCTCGCTCCTTCAGTAACTGTGCACGGCGATGCTGGCGTTCAGGGTCTTCTGTCATGAGGTCCAGGCAACGGGCACGTCCTAAGTCACCTATTAGCAACATTCTCCAACCTCATACTGCACACATATAATGTGTATGCTCACCATTATCGCCGAAGATCTCCAGGTCGTCACGAAGAGTATTAACAAGACTTGCGCGGCAAGTCCGGAACAACTTCATGTGAGTGGACTGGCACAAGACGTCTAGGAAACGGGAAGATGCGATATCATAGTAGGCCAGCGAGCTCTATGACCGCAGTTAGTAAATGTCAGAAAATCCCCCTTAGGAAACTTACGGCCATCATCTCAATTTCTTGCGAGTATCTATCAGGACCAAGTTGCTCTGGTTGAATCTTCTTGATCTTGTCAGAAATTCTTTCGTCACTCATATCATGGCCACGAATCTTTAGCCAGCAACTGGCGCGAGCATTAAATCGACGAGCTCTCAGAGAGCTCGAAGCCTGTTGCATCAAGACCTGGTGTTGACCTTGGGCCATTGTGAACGGTATCTCGCGCTCGGACTTGCAGTAATCTTTGGCAATTTGAAGATGAGCATGGCGGAGCTTGCTCATAAATTCCTTCAAGATTCTGCTGAGTTCCTGATACAGCCCAGTCTGGTGGTACTGGGCGAACTCGTCCTCAAGCGCTTCAATCAACATGCCGTGCACAAGGCTATGTGTAGCCTTCAGGAAAATCTCCATGAGCTTCCCCCAATGATCAACGCTTCTTTTATTCAGATTTTCAATTGCTCGTGGATCAAGCTGGTTTGGTACACCAACTGTATTTGAACGAATCTTGAGTTCTGTGAGGTATTGCAGGTTCATTCGGGCAGACTTCGATCCTTCAAAGTGGGAGGTGCTGTACATGGTCCTTCTCGGAGTTGCTGGCTCTGATGGAGAAGCAACGCTTGCAGGCGATTTTCTTTTCTTCGGTGTGGACGTGTTGGCGCCCACAATCTTCATCTCACAATCCGAATCAACAACTTCAGCCAAGTCTTCGTTGTCCTTCTGCGCAGCAACATCTAAGATGGGGCGTGTCTTTGCGAGCGCGGTCTGGAGGTCCATAACGATCTTGTTCCACTGCTCCTGCAGTGGCTTTCGCTGAGAGGAACTGTGCTCGATACTGGGTGTTCCATCAAAAAGTTCATGAATTTTCCGCTCAAGGTCCGAGGTTTTGGCCCAAAGGATCCGCTGAACATCCTCAGTAGGAGGATTAGGCAAAGTTCGAAGTTCTTCATCAATAGCTTTCGACTTTTCATCAATCTGGGCAATGATGGAGGGCAAAGATCCTAAGATCTGGCGCATCAAAAGGTCAGACAATGCCGTTTGAAGCTGTCGAGTACCAAAACGGCCCTCGAATGCAGAGAGATCCCTCCACAGTGAAGAGCCAAAGTACTCATCTTCCTCCTTCCTAGCTTGTGCATGGCTGACCAATGGGTCATTATTGTTCCGAATGACATAATAACCGTGACCGAGGTGGAACTTGCTTCCATCCAGAATTTCAAGCCACTGGTCAAATGCCTCGTCGGGGGATCGCAAATCGGGTTTGGTCAGGACTCCAAGGGTACGTTCTTTTGCGCCCTTGATGTCCCGCACGAGACGAGCAGCACTAGAATTTGTCGCATCGCCTGTCATGGGAAGTGTGAGGAGTACAATGCAATGCTCCTGAGAAACATAATCCTTGACCAGATTTTCGACCAGGTTCACCAGGTATCGTTCATTATCATGTTCGGCCTGGCTAATCACCCCAGGCAGATCGTAGAACGAGAGATTGGGAAGACCCGAACCGGAGATATCCAACCGCACGGCATTTGGAGAAAACTTGACTTGATATGTCTGTGCCATGTCGTTAGATCCGGGGACAAAATCATGCGAATCTGTGCTAGGGTTCAAAATTGCTAACTGGGCACACCGGATAGCCCCTTCGACTTCTCGTTTATTTTCCAAGGTGACGAAATGCTCATCATCTTGGCCACCAAGGGCAGTCCATGGTCCTAGTGGCTCTGACTTCTTGGGCATTTTCATCCGCTTCGACGGATCCTTCGACGGGTCGAAGATGTAGCGGCGTGACAGGTGGATCACGCATTTCCAGTTGTCATTGCTTTCGGAAAGGTTGATCTCCAGGGGGCATCGCGTGCAGGTTCCTTCGGATCTAGGTACCTTGATCTCGGAAATACCCTCGATAAGGGAGCTTTTTCCGGTGCTCTGGTCACCGACGACACATATTTTGGGCAGCATGATCTTGCTGTCTTCAATTCCCAAGTGGCTGAGGTCTTGAATCTTTTTGACTAGGTTTTTCATGTCCATAGTCAGATGATCCAGAGAGGAACCAGGAATTGGGTGGGCGACAGGTAGACCATGAGACACAGGCATTCGAGCAGCTAATCCAGCTAGAGGAATTAGGAGGTTGATCAGTGAGAAGACCTTATTTATCAAGAGAGGCCGAACTCACAAATTGCTGGACTAGGTTCCGACTTCGGAACTCGGTCATAGATGCCTGCCATCGTAGAGGATCAGGTCTGGAGGAGTGATTGTTAGCCAGAAGAAGGGGAAGACAGGAGACAGAAATCGGTGCCCCAGGCTTCAGGAAGTAACGTAAGGCAAAGTGAGACATACCAAAAGGCACAGGTAAGAAAGACAGAGGATATGAGGGTGGATGGAAAATTGAGACAAGCGCGATTGTCAAGACCAAGTTGGCCGAAAGAGCGAAAGCCAGTGCGGGTGATAGGCGTATCAGGAGCGAAAGAGATATCCAACAGTCAAAGGCTGCAGACAGAAATAGACTGATGTCGACAGATAGGAGGAGACGGGTGAGATCGAGGTCGAGGGGATGGGCGAATGAAGGAAAATGATGAAGAACAAGGGTAGGCACATGAGAATGACAGAGAGAGAGGGGCGTAAGAAAGCAAGCAAAATAATTGGGATAGCTGGAGAATGATAAATGACAGGAAAAAGAAAGGACGCAAGAGGTTCTTGCCTACACGTAAAAGAAGAGATGGAAGATAGTCGACACTACGGTGTGGCTACACGGTGCTGCTGATTAGAATGACATTTCTTCTGCAGGCGCATATTACTATTTCCCCCTACCTTGATCTCTCTAGAATTAAATTTATATAATTCCGGATGACCGAGTCTGACATGAAGTAGCACTAACTTATATAGTCCATGTTCTCTCCCAATTTGCTCGGGTCGAAACTGACCTAAAGTTCTTCAAGATTCTTTTTCCTAATCAGTAAAAGATACCTATGTACTTGATTTCCGCTGCCACTTCTTGGCTTTCCCTTTCCGTTTTAGTGCTCAGTGCATGCCGCTTTTTGCTCACTGAGTACAACTGAGCACGCCCCTGAGCGGTCTGATCCGCTCACTGAGTATTACATAAGCACTCAGATCTGCTCACTGAGTCTGAGCTGAGCCTAGGGGTGAGCGGCCCAAGTAAGCTGCATCAATAAAATGTAACACGCTAGTCCCATTACTAGACCTTGCCAACTCCCACCATTTGGTCCCATGGGACCACTCCTATGGGTAGACCTCATAACCGCCCGCGAGCCGCCCTCCGAGGGCCGCCCACAGACCCGCCTTTTGCGGGCGGAGGGCAGGATCCTCCTGCCCGCGGGTCGGGCACGTCTTTTATATGCCCTCAGAGGGCCGCCCTCGAAACATTTTAAGGGCCGACAAACATAACAAACATAGAAGATCTAATAATTATATAAAATATACAAATCAGAGCTATATTATTAAGTATTTAAGTTACAGCTTAGGATTTTAGAAAGTTACTAAATTAGTAGTAGGACAGATTTACTAAAATTTAAATAATTAGATTTAATTTTAAGATCTATACTATATTATAAAGGGTTATAGTTAAATTAATTTAATTAGATAGTACCTATATACTATTTATCTAAAGCTTAGAGAAGTTAAGATAATTAGTATATATTATATCCCTATAGGTAGTAGCCTTTCTACTATTATTTTCTAATTAAGGTTAGAAATATACTATATAAGTAGAGCCTAAGCTTTTATACTAGTATTAGCTTATTATATATATATAATATCTATAGAGTTTTAACTTTATAACTATTAAGAAGCCTTAAATACTTCTAAACCCTCCCTAAATACTAACTTTATATATTAAGTAAAATAAGCTTACCTTCCTCTTTATATTATCCTTTATCTAGCTCTAATAAAGCGCGCTATTATTATTTTAATTAGGCCTTATTAATAGTATTATAAACTATTAAAATATTATCCTTATTAACCTTATTATACCTTTTATTATATCCTTTATTATAACCCTTATTATTATTACTAATAGGTTTAAAAGGATAAGTATCTATATTCTTTTCTTTCTAACTTACCTATATCTTTTTATATAAAAGATATTTATTAATTAGTACTTATTAACTATCTTTAATCTTAAACTTTAATATATATATAAATATTATTAGATCTTAGATTATTAATAGATTTAAAGAACTTTATTAGTAGTAATAGATATTATAGGTAAAGTTAAAGAGGTACTCTATATCTACTCTTATAATAGGTATAAAAAGTATATTATATATAAGATTTATAAGAATAAGGAATTAATACTAATAATCTTTCTAGAAAATATAGGTAGGAGTTTATATAATACCTAGAATTAAAGTTAATATAAGTTAGGTAATAAAAAGATTTTATCTACTTATTACTATTAAGGTATTCCTTTAACTTATTATATTTATTAAATACTAAAGGCTAAGACTCTTTTATTATATATTCTATCTTAAGCTTTAAAATAGTTATAATAGATAACTAGCCTTTTAATATTAATTATATATCTAAATAGTATTACATATAAGATTAAAAGTAATCTTTAAGACTTACTTAATAAATTATATATTAGTTATTATCTAGATTATTTTAGTCCTTTCTTTTAAAAAACTAAAGCTTTTATTATAGTAAGAGAATAATACTAATTATATAAAGATTATTATTAATTATATTAGTTATTCTATAATAATATAAAAGCTTCTTTTTAACTATTTTAAGAGAGGTAAGTATAAGCTACTTTTAAGTAACTTTCTTTTATCTTAATATACTCTTTAACTTTTTAAAATAGGTAAAGAGTTTATTATAGATACTAAAGATAAGGTAAAAACTAATATCCTTTATCTTTAAAAGAAGTATTATAAATTTAAAGAAAGGTTAGGTAATCTAAAGTAGATATTTAATCTATTACTATTCTTTTTAATTTAATATAAATTAGTCTTAATTATATTAGGAATAAAACGTATTAAAGGTTAATTAGAGCTATTTAGTATATTAGAGTATTAGAAAGGTAGAATTCTAGTAAGTTTAGATATCTTAGATTAGAATAAGCTTTAGCTCTTTAGTCTAAAGGTTATAGAATAATTCCTACTATTATAGGCTTATATTAATATATATAACTAGGTTTTAGACCTAAATAAGAAGAGTTAGTATATTAGAAAAGTATAATAATAAGGGTATACCTTATTAAGTATATTAATAATTTCTCTTTTTTATTATTTAGTATAAAGAGATTAGATATAATTATTAAATTAATCTATTTCTATGCTTTTATTTTTTAGAATTACTTTTATCTTACTAAGAAGGTTATTTAAATTAAGCTAAATAATATAGGTAATATAAAGAACCTAAATAATTATAGAATTATTATTAAATTTAAAGGACTATAATAATTCTTAAATACTTAATATTATAGTAGTATTATTTAATATATTATTAGTAGTAACTATAAGTACTTAATCTATAATCTTATATTATTAAAAGAGCTTTAAAATTATATTACTTAGATTAATACCTAAGTAAAATCTAGATAAAGGCTTAAATCTAAGAAGGATCTCTTAATATTCGTAATCCTAGTTAAGAAAATAGCTAATAATAACTATAAAGGCTTATTAAAATAGAGATATCTAGTAATCTAATATAAGTAAAAGCTTTATATTAAAAGGAAGCTTCTATAGGATAGACTACTTGTGAAGGGACATAGCCAGTCTTGATTCAAACTAACTAAGCTGTTTGTAGTTATCTAAAAGCTTAAGGAGAGAAGTGGGAGCTGGTAGGGTTGAATGTAAATAAAAGGGGATATAAGGAAGGTTACGTACGCGTATATAATATTAACCGGGTACTAGCCTATTATAATACCTCCCTCCTCCTAGTAGTATCTATTTATATATAGAGGGTACCTATATATATATAGGGCTATATTCCCTAAGGGCTATTATTTATTCGCGCGCTCCTATAATATTCTTTAAATATATCTAATATAATATAATCCTCTAATTTATCTAACCTTTACTATATTTATTCTATAAAGCTAGCCTATTTTACTAATACTTCTTATTAATAACTTCTCCTAATCCTTTATATATATATAACTAAGATCTCTTTAACTTTTTATTCTAATTTATTATTAATAATAATTAGTAGAGATTAGGTATTATCTATAATTTAAGAAAGGAAGAGATCTAATACTATAGGTTATATTAGGTCTATATAAAAGATAAAGTAAATCCTATATAGGATACTTAGCTCTATTATATATAAAGATAGAATATTAATAATAGTATACCTTTTATATAATTAGTCTAGTTTCTTTAATAGTTATAAGGATATAATATTTTATAGGTATAATTATACTCTATCTCTTATATAGTAGACTAGTATAACCTAATATATATAGTTTACTTATTTTTACTATTTATCCTAGGTAGTAACTATTACTATTTATATTTAATTAGAAGCTTTATAAAGGTATTCTATAAAGTCTATACCTATTTATCTAAGACTACTTTTATAACCTTAGAGGTTTCTATTATCTTTTAGTCTAATTAGGTTAATATAATATTTATATATAAAAAAGAATAATACTAAACTAGTTAATAATACTACTTAGTTATTAATTATAATAACTATAATTAAAAAGAGATAGGATTAATCCTTTTATAAATAGGTTATAAAGGCTTATAAGATTTATTTTATCTCTTAATTTACTTATTCTATTATACTATCTATTTAAGGATAAAAAGCTATTAATAATTATTATTAGATTTTTAGTCTTTTATATATTTCTTTTTAAAAACTACTTATAAATTAAGGGCTATAGTTACTTATAATTATAAGTAAGAGCCTATAATATATATAAAAGTAATCTATAAATATCTAAGCTATAATATTACTTATAATAAAGTCTATAATAATAAGAATAATACTCTTTATAAGCTAATTTATAATAATAAGGTAGTTTATAGCCTTTTAAAGGCTATTTATAAAAAAATCTATAATAAAATTAATAGAAATTTCTACTTAGATCTATTATAAAACTAGTAATAGCTTTAATAATCTATATTTAATATTATATTATATTATATTTTATCTATAAACTATATAGTTC